TCAGGAGTCAAAACGCGAATGGGGGACGTCAGGCAGAAAGACACCACCCCTGATCTCACGTGGACTTCGAACCCTTACACTCAACATCAAAAGTGGAAGCGAGCCAGGGACCTCTGGGGCAGCGACCACTGGCCAATCTACTTTGAGTTCTCACCAACTCGGAAGATTAAAGGCAGCAGCAAGAAAAGGGTCGTGAAAACGGTTCACTGGGACAAGTTTCGACAAGCGCTAGAAGCGGACAACTTTCCCGGGTCCAGCTTTGAGAGTCTGCTCAACAACGCCTTGAAAGAAGCGACCACCGAGACCAAAATTGAAGAAGATGCGCCAACTCCCGACCTGCACCTCTTGCGAATATGGGCTAAGCGACTTCAAGCGGTGCAGCGGTACCGCAATGGACGCAAGACTCCGCAAGCCCGGCGAGCAATCACGCGAGCCACGGTAGAGGCCAAGCAGTACGCTAAGCAACTCGGCACCAATAGGTGGATAGGCTTCAGCTCCTCGCTAACCGAGAAGACTTCGGTGAAGCGGCTCTGGGCGGTAAGTCGAGCCATGCTCGGGAAGAAAAAGAGCAAGAAGGGCACCAGCATACTGGCACTAAAGATGAATAAGACAGAGGAGCAGCTCGCTGACATGGCCGGAGATCTTTTCTTTCCTCAACCGCCATGTAAGGATGATCAGGGGCTCGGAAATCCGTACAACATAGAGGTCCTAGCACCGGACGAAGGCATGGACCGGCCTTTCTCTCTGGGTGAGCTCGAGTGGGCGCTCCACAAGGGGAAATCCTGCTCAGCTCCCGGCTCAGACAAAGTCACAATGACTATGCTCAAGAACCTCCCCGAAAACACCAAGCTCCAACTGCTAAATTGGATTAATCTCATTTGGATCACCGGCAAGCTGCCCGAGCACTGGAAACACTCTTTGGTCATTCCCATACCGAAACCCGGCAAGGACAAGGAATCACTAAACAATTATCGGCCAATTTCTCTAACATCATGCACGTGCAAAGTCATGGAGCGGATGGTATTGGCCCGAATTGACTGGCATCTCGAGACTACGGGGGCCTTTCATCCAGCTCAGACTGGGTTCAGGCCTTGCCTGGGCACCCAAGAAAGTCTGGCCCTGATATCGTCCAGCGTCATTCGCAACGTGCACAAATCTAAATTCCGGACCATCGTGGCCATCGACGTGAAAAAAGCGTTCGATTCCGTGCCCCACGCGACAATTATCAAGGAAGCCAGCCGGCTTAACATCACCGGCAGGACCCTCAACTTCATCAAGAGTTTCCTGGAAGGGAGGACATTCTCGGTACGCTGCGGCAGGCACGATAGCGCGCCAAGAGCGAACCACGTGGGTGTCCCACAAGGTTCGGTCCTCTCGCCTACGCTATTTAATCTGACGATGGTGGCGCTACCACACGAACTCAGTAAGATCTCTGGCCTAGAATTCACCGTATACGCGGATGATGTTTCGATCTGGGCTTATGGGGACGATCTCGAAAAGCAGCGAGATATACTACAATCTGGACTAGATATAATCGAGGCTCACCTGGCCCGTGTGGGAATGCAGGCGGCACCAGAAAAGACGAACTATACAGTCTTACGCAGCCCGAGAATTCGCGTGAAGGAGGACTATGCAGCCAAACTCAACCTGGTCCTGGCGGGGAAACAAATCCAGCCGTCCCCTTCGGTAAAGATCCTGGGGATCACCATCGAGGAGAACGGCAAAGGAGACGCTTGGCTCCGCGACACACTCAAACAGTGCAACTCGGTGCTCAGCATGATCAGACGGATCTGTAATGCACGCGGGGGAGCGTCACAAGACATTGCCAAAAAAATGGTCAAGGCTCTCGTAGTATCCCGGGTATGCTACGGAGCACGCCACTATTGGCTCACTGCAAGGCAATGGGAACGTCTCGAAGCTTTGAACAACCACGCTATGAGAGTTATCACTGGACTGCCCCGTTTCACTCCTCTCGTCAAACTGAGGCAGTACGCGCAGTTGAACAAATTGCACGACGTCGTGGAAGCAAGAAGGAACGCGCACGACGAACGCCTTAAGACGACACCGCAAGGAAGAGGCATCATGCGACTCCTAAAAAAATCGGTAGATGGCCTCCCAGAGCTGCAGAAACAACTGCCTCCGTGGGAAGACCTCGCGGCCATCACAAGCAGCAAGCCTCTAAGAGCATGCAGAAAAGGGGACACCAAACAACTGGCCCGCCGGGTAAAAGCACACAACAAAATGGTGGAGAGCTGGAAGCAAAGCAAGACCGTAGTTGCTGCTTATACGGACACTGCATCGCTTGAAGGCCCCGTCATCCTCAAGTCGGCTGCCGTGGTATTCCCAGCACTTCGACTCGAGGCAATTGAAGCATTACCCCCTACGGTGTCAACAAAGGGAGGAGAACTGGCAGCCATCCGCCTTGCATTAGAGACGGTCGTCACTCAAGCCACCGACCTCCCTGAGAACCTCAGGATCTTTACGGATTCACAGGAGGCGGTGAAAGAGTGTCGAAACAAGAATAGCCCTAGCGTCCAAGTACGCAAGATCAAAAAGCTCGCCGCGACACTTAGGTCGCGGGGTGTCTTTACAAGAATCGAGTGGGTTCCTGGTCATGCGGGGATCCCAGGCAACGAAGAAGCCCATCAACTGGCCCGCGACGCCCTTGCTACCCCTTCCTTCCGCGGGCCCGGAGATGAAACGCTTCCACTTCAAGATCACCAATATGACGTGACCGCTCGAGATCGAGCATCCATCGTCGATTGGCAGTCACAAGAATATGACCCCGCCGAAGAAAAGGCCGGGATAAAAAATGAATACCAGGCGAAACTTGAAGAGCTCCTGCCCGAGCCGGCGCATCCCCTGCTCCCTTCACGGGGATTTGGACGACGAGGGCAGGTTCTGCTCACCCGAGTCCGCACAGAAGCAACACTATCACCCGCGAGACTCGCATCGTGGAACAAAGGCAAAAGGTCTGGCCTCTGTTCCCAGTGCGACATGAACGCTAAGGCGGACACATACCACCAAGTGTGGGTGTGCCCCAAGTATCAAGCAGAAAGGGCAAAATTTCGACCTCAGAACATTGCCACTCTGGAAGGCTGGACTCATCCCCCTGGAAACGAGAACCAACAACGAGCGATCCTGCGAAGTCTCCTGGACTTCCTCCACGAGGCAAAGCTGGAATCGTTTATTTAGTGTACATGTTTTAAATAGTATGCCGCATCCAGGCCTCGACTATTAGCCACCGATGCATTCTTACATCCCTTTCCCTGCTTAATGGCATCAATAAACGCTCTTTGAACTGAACTGAACAACATATTCTCCATGCCCGAGCGGCATGAGCTCTCCGCGCAGTGCGTATACACCTTTCCAAAAAACGCTCCTAGGCCGCCGCCATGTTGCTGATACTGATGCGGCTGGTGCGACTCTCGCGCCCTCTATCAGCTAGAAATTTCCTGCCACTCTCTGGGACTGTGAAGACCCGCTCAGCGCGGTTCTCTACCTACGTTTTTGCGGTTTTGCATTCGACGTTTTCTGGCACCTCTTGAAAGTTTCCACTTATTTTTTTTTTTTTTTTTTATGCGTGCTCCGTATCCTTTTTGTGTTATCTTCCATTGTGAGAAATAAGGCTGGTAAGTGCCTGCCATTCAAGCTTCTCTGCTCGACATTCACGGGAAACGAAGGAGGTGAAGGACGTCGAACGACCCTCGACGCGATTTTGCCGAACATTGTTCTCCCCCCTCCCAGAGACAATCCACGTAGAATCCTCAGTCATCTCCAAAAATAGTTGTCCGGGTTGGGGTGAGAAACGGGTCAGTCGCGTTTGTTTCTTTGCCTTGGTGCGGTCGTGAAAAAAAGGAAGCTCTTTCCAAAGCGTGCCCCAAAACGAAGTCATCTCGGATTCCGTCCGATCGTCAAGATTTGACTGTCGTCGGTCGACTGTGACTGTGTTATTTGAGATCTTTCTCAAATAAATTCTTTTCGGATAACGCTCCATCGTGTGGTACGTACGATATATTGTTCGAACGTTAACACTTCCTCCATCGTATGTCCGTGTCCTGTCCATCGGTAAACACGTTATTTGTGAGCGTGGAAAATGCATGACTTTCGGCCCTCTTCTGTTGCAATTTATTTTTGACAGCAAAGCGCATTGTCGTTCCACATCCGGCGAATCCCGCGGCGCCGTCAAAACCTATCGTAAGAAAAAAAACAAATAACTAGAACTAAACATTCCAGTCGCATTCGTTCTGTCGCGCGCGTACCCAACAAAAAGAGTTTGCAGTTTTATTTTGCTTCTTTTTTTTTTTTCAAATGTGGCACAATGCTTTTTCAATGTCCTCGGGAACATAAATGTACATTGAAACACAAAATATAGCGAAAAAAGACGAGAATTTAGCCGCCAGCAGCGTTTGAAACTGCGCGTACGCAGGCTGCGCCTATTGAAATCACAGTCCACTCGGTTAGGGTTAGGAGGGACGCCGGTGAGAGTCTAGCCTCAAACTCAGTGACTGGGCTCGAAAACGGTTCGCTGCCCCTGGGGTCGAGTGTTTTTTGGAAAGGTGTATAGACCTTTTCCACATGGGCGCCGCCATCTTGAATTGACGTCACTTCCAGTATGGGCGAAAACGTAACTTTGCCGTTGCCACGCCAATAGAAGACATTTAGGACATAAGCCTAACCGTCACACATTCTCGTTTTGGCTCGCCTCTATTTTTTTACTAGTTACAGGTTGAAACGTTTTACTTTTTTTTCGTCGCCCATACTGGAAGTGACGACAATTCAAGATGGCGGCGCCCTTGTGGAAAAGGTCTATAGCAATTTCCGTCCAAAGTGCACTACGCAGTGCATATAGCATCGCTCTATTTGTAATTGCTTGATGCTGACACTCGCTTACCAGCGTTACAACAATTTTCGGTTAAAATAAAACAGTTCTAAAACGAGACAATGCGCCACCCGAAACTTTAGCGTAGTGAGCAATTATACCTAGAAGTATGACTTACCGATGATGCTGCAGTTGCAGCTGTTGCACCCGGTAGGAATAGCGTCGGGACCGCCCCGTGTCTCAATCGCGGACGTTCGGTGTGCGCGGTGCTAAGCTCGAAGACCTCCGGAGCGAAATGACGAGAACATACTTGGACACGTTTGTCGCTACGCGAACGCCCGATTGCCTCCAGCCAAATAGCCTTTAGCTTGTCATCTTTCGGGGCGACATGGCTGCTGAAAGACTCGCTGTCGCGATCACTAACCTTACAGCCCTTTACAGAGCAACGGCGCCGGTTTGCAGGAGCTGACATCTCCAAAAAGTCGGCATTTGCACACGCAAGCAAAAAAGAAAAAAAAAAAAAACACACTTACACTGCAAAAGGAAAACAAAATTAACAAACCGCGCTATGAAAGCCAAAACCTCGCGTCGCTTCCTATCACTAACACCTGTGACAGCTGCTAAACACACACCACTTCATTTCAGGAAGTTTTACTGAAGCAGGAAATACTGATCACTTAGGACAAACGACTAGTCGAGGTAGGCGAGACCAGAGCCGGGCGAGACCGGCGAAAGTGGCGCGAGCACTATGGACGGGAGCCGCGCGAGCACGCGAGCAGACAGCGGCGGCCATTGAAAAAATTTTGAATCGAAACTCCAAACGGAAAGGTCCGTCTTGTAAACCTTTTGTAAATAATAATAATAACTCGAATTACACGGGTTATTTTTTAAACGTAAAAATATGGCACTCAAAAGGAAATTACAATATATCACAAAGGTTTAACAACCAGATCTAAGCTGCCAATCAATCTCTTAGCCAATGAGAAGAGTTCTTTACACTCCCCTTCGAAGAGTTGCTATCGCACGTCGCTCCTACCAACTTGTGGCGCGCGATTTAAAGCGGACGAAACAGCCGCAAACTGAAATCAATCGACATCTTGTGAACCCCGAGATGGGGAACGATTAAAAAAACGGACGAACACAACAAAATCTCAATCGTTCCCCATCTCAGGGTTTACAAGATGTCGATTAATCACCAGCTCGCCTGCACTGTATCACTGCTTACAATGAAATCAATCTCGAGCAATAAATATTGCTGTAAAGTGATTTTTTGTTCGCGTAAATTTGTTTTGTGTGTGTGTGTTTTTTTTTTTGCAGTTATTTTTTACCTTTTGTGAGCATATTCTAAACTCATCACTTGTGGCGATATTCTGCAACATATGAACTGATTCTTACGTATGTCAAAAAAAAAAAAAAAATGTTTCCGCAAACAATTTCTTTAGCTCAATAATTACACTGCGAGTCAAATCTTGAGTTAGAAGAGAAACAGAAATTAACACATAATCGAGAAATTAAATCCAAAATACCAGTTAGTTTTGGTTTTGTTCCTGAAGTGAAACGTGCCTCCTGGTGTAAATATTACACTAAACGTTAATTTTGTTTTAAAGATAATTAGGCAACCTGCGTGCAACACTATCTTCCCTGTAAAAGTGGGAATAATTTGTGTCAGCCTATTATGGGCGTACCAACTGAGGGGGGGGGGGGCAGGGGGGGCGCTCTCACCCCCCAGTTTTCAGAGGGGGGGGGGGGGGGGGCAGGGCATGTGTTTTGCCCCTCAGGAACAGCGCCGCCAGTGGGCAGGGCAAACACTAGCCGGCGGTGCCCAAGGAATACCAAGGGCACCACACCCCGGCCCGGTGGAGGGGGGTCTGGTTTGCCCCCCATTCAAAAACAAGTTGGTACGCCACTGCGCCCAATGAAGCTAGCACACTGGACAGACTCAGAAATTGGTGTACCAGCACGCATCTCCGACCCTCACTATAAACCGACACGCGGGCAATCGACGTCACGGAGCTGCGGCGGCGCTGCGGCGGCGCTGCGATTGCACCGGAGCCGGGTGGTGTGGGCAGAAGGGCGCACGTTTCGCATGGGCGTCATAGCATTTCAGCATGCCACGAAGCTGTGTTGCCGTTCATTGCACCGAAAGGTACAAAAAAAGTAGTGGAGTGAGTTTCCACAAGTTCCCGGCAGACGCTGAAAGGCATAGAAGGTGGATAATATCCGTGGATCGAAAAGAATGGTCGCCTCGCACGAACGACCGTTTCTGCGGCAAGCACTTTCTTCAAGGCAAGTGCGGCTTTCATTTCAATCTCCGTCCCGAGGCTTGCCTATGTTCAGGGAAACCGTCGCCTGATCAGGACCACCCAGATTTTGTTCCCTGTTTGCGCACAAAGCACTGGCCAAGCACTCGTCGGAGCCTTGCTACGCTCGTGCTACCCAGCAGAAGGGGAACAGCGACAGAACGGCAGTGTTGTAGGCGTTACCGAAAAAAAGTAACGAAATATGTTACTCGGTCCTTGCAAATAAAAGGAATGCGTCACCGACCTACGTACCTCAAAATAAAGTTAAAGCGTTATTGCTACCGACAAAAAGTAACGCACGTTACTTCTGCGTTACTTTTTAAAATTACGGACATGTTTTACTGTTTTGACGATACAGTTATGCATAAGCTCATATATCAAGAAACATTATGTTCATGTAGAAACTGAACATAATTGCTTTATCTCTTTTTTACGGTTTCACCTAAATATTCATGAGAAAAAATGCAAAACAAAAGAAAAGACAGAAAACTCAGAAATTCACATGGCTTGACGCCTAAAAGCATGGAAAAAATTGAAGTATAATTTCTTTGAGACTTGGGAAGTAGTAACGAGTAAAGGCCCGTTCACACTTTTGCGACCGAGTACGACTGAGAGAGACGAGATCTCTTAAAACTTCTTAAATGTTTTTAGAATGAGGGAACACACTGGCATTGTGGCGCCATCTACACTGTAGCTCTAGAACTGCATTTCACAAGAGTGAAGGTTTTGCGGGAGTTCCAAGGTCAAATGTGCGTAATACCCATAGAAAGGCTCGTTTATAACATTGACAAAAGTTTTTCGAGCCAAGAAAGAAAGGATAATGCGCGAGAAATAAAACAAATATGCCGGACCGCTGAGTTTACACTGCTTCCCAATAGATGGCGCCAGTGTGTTCTCTGGTTTAAGAAGTTTTAAGAACCCAGGTTAAAGAGGTCGCAAGAGTGTGAACGGGCCTTAACGTAACTATGTTACTTGAAATAGTAACGTAAGTATGCTACGCCGTTACTGTGTCAAAAAAGTAACGAGTAGGTTACTACGTTACTAAAAAAAGTAATGCATTTCTGGTAACGCCGTTACTTGTAACGTGTTACCGCCAAGACTGCAGAACGGACAAAGCGTTACTGCTCGCCATGCTTTGTGGTCATGAGGGTAGGAAAAATATCATGCGTTGACTTGAAGACGCTGTGTGTATTCAATCAATTAATAAATACACTTCCGCAGGCCCACAGTCTGCTGATTACGCCGGCAGTGCAGAAACCGGTTCGAAGTAATCGTAGGCCTCGAGAGACTTGTACGCCTGCACCGTGTCGGCCGTGAACTGCATGGCTTGGCAAAAAAACTAAATATCTTTTTAAACGACAACACGAGCCGTCGATCTTGGTGGCAGCAACTTCACGTCAGAAGTCCAGCAGGCCTTGTTTGTGGCGTACGGATCGTCGAAGACAACGCCATTCACGCAGTTTGTTTCGATACCGCTGCCGTTCAGGCTCGGTTAGCGAGCTGAAATAGTCGGGCATGGCATACGACATAGGTTAGTTAGGAAATACGACGCATAAATAAAGCTAGAAGCGTCCCCACGTCAAAAACGAGCGCACGCCGGCCATATAACGCAATGGCGAAAACATGGAGAGCCGGGCCGCTTTTGCCCACATCCTCCGCACATGCGCGGCCTTCCGGCCGTGTTTTAAACAGAGCCGCGTGTCGGTCTATAACTGCCATTTTAAAAAAGAGTGGCCAACAGTATCCAAAATCATAGCTCCCAGCGATGAAAATAGAAAAGAATCATCTCAAATGTAGGCTCTTGTGAAGAGAGGCACTGTGTATAAAACAAGAAATCTTTTTTCTTTTTATAGCACTCTTAGCATCAGTGTTTTTCTTGGAGCTTCGGGGCTAAGCCTTTCTGATGTTTTTGCACTACGACATGTGCGAGCGTTTCTAATAAAATACACATGGCGTGAGCATAAACAAATGTGGCGGCACCCGTGGAACAGAGCAGACACTGGTCTATTGGCGACGAGATGTTTTGGTGGCGCCACCTCACAGGCGCTCTCCTGTGACGGTGTGGGTAGGATGCGAGCAGACGACGCGCTATTTAATAGCACAGAGTGGCTATGTTAGTTCACATCTATGCCGATTAAAACGGTTTATTTTTTAAACATGTATGATGTTTTTGTGAGTGATCTTTCTAATGAAGAACAGTGCCACAAGGTTACTTTTTATATTAAAAAAACTCAAAATGTTCAAAACGAGCCTGGAGCTTCACCAGTGGCGTAGCTAGGCCATCTGGCACCCGGGGCCCTTAGGTCTTTTGTCACCCCCCACCCCCCGCTCCCCGAGACCGCAAAGCTAAAAGCCATAACCGCGACGCGCGGTCACGCGGCGATAATGAAATAATAAATACAGGGTTAGCCAGCAAACAGCGTTTTTTTTAATTAACTATGTACACATAATGAAGACACATGAAGTTCTTTTTTTTTATATTGAGCATTTGTGTCACGAAAGCTGAACATTCAATTTCTTCATGAGTTCTTTCGCCGACACTTGGCTTCTGCAAAGTTATTGATTACTGATGTAAAATTTATATTTTTGACACATTCTTTTTCTATGGACAGTATCGACAGGTTTGAGAGCCTTTCATTGCTCATGGTGGAGCGCAGAGACGTTTTGATTAGCTTTAGCTTGGAAAAGTTCCTTTCGCATGAGGCAACTGAAACACAAATGGTGAGGAACAAGCGAAATATAACAGTCAGGTTTGGAAGGGTCTCGAAAAAGCTCCATTTGGCAATAAATTCTAGAAACTGCTTTGCATTCCAAGTTTTTGTCTCATTAGGATGCTTCCCAGCGGCTTTCAGGTGCCTTCGCAGTCGGATGATCTCCATAACGATTTCGTCATCATGACCGGTGAACTCGTCATAAACTTCAGTGAGGCTTGGTGTCAATGTCCGAAGCGTTTCCTCGGTCTCAAGTACTATAGAAGCAGGCTCAATGACGCAGAAAACCGACGTCACTTTCTCCATAGCCTTTGAGCGGGTGTCCAGCTCTTCGTGAAAACGATTGAGACATTCAAACATTGCCCTTTTGGTTTGCTCTGTTAACGTCAGGCCAGCGTCCGCTGCTCTTTCACCAGGCATCTTCCTGCGATATCTGATTCTTGCTAGTGTCTCTATACCCATTTTCTCGCATTTTGCTGTGGCTTGGGCAATTTCCCTTTGTACCACCTTGACGCGCTGCTCTTGCAGG